TCCAGGAAATGTCCTTTAAGTTCCTCAAGGAGAGGAGCTGGAAGCCCAGGCTTGACCTGTCCTGTTCTTCAAAGGTATCCTTGTACAACCCTAAAACACAGGCATTTTAAGGAAGGGGAGAATCACAAGTTACAGCTGCAGAGACTGAAAGTACCAGTGCAAGACAAGCTACAGAAGGAAGAAGACGGGGAGGTGGTGGCTCAGTTCCACTGGGAGGAAACTATTCCCTCCTTCTAAGCCCAGGCTTTGTATAGATTCTTATGTTGTTGACTTACATTTGGTTTAATTGATCATGTCACCTGATCTTTGCTCTAAAGCCTAGAATCTTATCTGCATCTGTCCTTGCATGCAGACAAGACTGTAACAACTGCAAGATCAAAGGAGTGGCACGTAGAGAGAGGTTTACAATGAAATGCCAAAACAAGCCAGTGCCCCTCCTGCTGACATAACCAGGTAGACACTGGAAAGCTTGCAGGTTTTGATGAGGACCCCTCTCCTCATCAGTGGCACTGCAGGTCAGCTTTGGCTTCACTGGGACCACTAGCAAGGGCAGCATCACCTTTGTCCCCTTGAGATGTGAAGTACCATGTGACAAGGTAGAGGTATTTTGGCTTTGGTGAGATCTGTGAATACAAAGCTACTTCCTCCTGTCAAAAGAATAGAAGCTGAATTCTTCTACAGGCTGGAATCATGAAGTGTGATCTGCCTTAAATATTAGCTCCTTACATAGTATCGTGTCTCCTCCCTTAGGTGTTAATGTAATTGAGCCCATCAATGTCCTCCCCAGAATGCCTCCCCTCAGGAAAGTGAATTCATTTAAAAACACAATAGCTCATGGGAAGAATAATAATCCCACTAATGAGACACTGGACTTACACTTCCTAGGAAATCCTCCCTCCACGCAGCAGTTTCTATAGAGCGCCACGGCCAACCCTGCCTGCTTCCTGATCTCCAACTCAAACCAGAAAAATTTACTTTTCCCCTTCCTGTTTCTTTTTTCTTTTTTGTTTTTCTTTCTTTTTTTTTTGTGACAGGGTTTTTCTGTATAACAGTACTAGTTGTCNAGAGAGAGAGAGAGAGAGAGAGAGAGAGAGAGAGAGAGAGAGAGAGAGAGAGAGAGATTCAAGCATTCTAAATGCTTTTGGATAATTTAGTGAAGGAAATGACGCTATTTGGGCATTGTTAAATTAAGATTCTTTTAGTTATTCGTTTAGAAGGGATGGAGATGTTACTTAAGAGATAATAATGTATCCGGTTTGGCATTTTCTTAAACCAGTCTGAAACGATGAAATGACAGCAGTAAATCTGCCACTTGGAACCTTAAATGATTTACATTGCTCTGGGGCCTCAGTCTAACAGTTGGTTTATGATGTGGTTTCAGGGTAACACATTTAAGCCTGGTTTGTTCCTTCCTCCGAAGCTGACATGAATCCATAAAGCTTTTAAATGATGACTCTAAAATATACAAAAGAATTCTCGGAGGCATGTTTTCAGATTGTTTATGTAAGGCCTTTAGATTTCTGCTTTCCCTCCATGATCTTCTGTGGAATGCTGTCTCAGGGTTAGCAAATGAATATGTAATGCCACCCAGGCAAGGATCACTCAGCCACCTGCTATCCAGTACCATCCTGATTCACCTTCTACTCCAGATATCTTAAATGTTGTATGCATATCACATTGGAGCTTAGGGTAACTGCTGATTGTCTAGGCCCACTGAGTCAGAACCTCTGAGTGTGATTCTAGACCCCAGACTGGGGAATCAGCGTGTTAATGGGTTCAAATGGGGGTGATCAGAGAAATGACAGGGGGCTACCACTACTCCTCATCGACTTCAGATCCTAGCTCTGGGAAAAGGATGCCTGGGGAGATCCTGACACATAGAAGCTCAAGCTTTTCAAAGGGATTGCTGCATCTGTAGGTTAAGGGCCACAGTGACTTGCCCTGTGTGACTGGCCTCTGCTATTCCAACCCTTCCTCCCAAGCCCTCAGCCTCGAGTTGCAAAATCCTGGTATGTCTTTGGCTGCATAGCCTGCTTTCCAGCCTGCCTCTGTTTTGCTTGAATCCTATGGATTCTGCTCCTCTCTTCAGCCTATCATACCACATTCCCCTCTTCTCTCTCATAAACCAGAGCCTGTTCTTAAAGGATGCCCTCCATCCTTTGACAAAGCTCTCTATGCAAAGAGATCCTCTCGGAGGATTTGCTCCAAGCAGTGTGTCCCACTTTCTCTGTTCTGTGAAGCATTATTCCAGAGGCTTGCCCTGGGAGCAGCTATCTACTCCTGAGATTTTTAGCTAACTCTAGAGGGTGGCGAGCTCTCCTTGTAATCCAACGCCCATCCTGAAACAGGATGGAAGCCTCAGGAGCCTCAAGGGGAACCACGGATGCATAAGGAGAATGTGGACTGTGCTGAGTGGATATGATGTGGCCTGAAAGCTCCCTGGTTGTGGCAAGTTCTCCACTCTGGTGTCCATTCTGGAATCTTCATGATCCCACCTTTACATAGCTATCATCTCTGACTCTTTGGAGTCAAGTGTAAATGTCTTTTTCCACAGGAAGTCTTCCTTGGCCCTAGACACAGAGCAGTTTTCACTGTGTTTCAGGGACCCTGTGTACCTGTGCATTCCTACTTGCCTGAGTATGCAAATCCTCCTCAACATCAAGAGCTCCATAAGAGCAAAGATTGAAACTTCAGTATCCAATGCCATCTGTGCCACACAGTCAGTGTTCAATAGGTGTTTGCTGGAACAATGAGCTACTAAGCTAAATAGTAAGATGAGGCCCTCCCCTCATGCCTTCCATGGGCATTTTAACACCCACCGTGCTGTGCCGAGAAAGGAAGTGTCTCTTCCCACAAGTGTCAGACTCGCTGCCATGGAGCAAGTTTCCCCAGGGACAGACTGCATTTACTCATCTTTGCATCCCTGTAAGCATGTAGCAGTTAGCATGAATAACATATATATTCAATTCTGTGTCTCCAAATAAGGATACCTTTGAATTTTGACCAAGGCAATCCTGAACTATAAGATGTCCTCCAACATTGCTATCCTTTTATGTACACTAGATGTCCTAAGTACATCTCCCATCACTTGGCAATGCCATATATACCTTCAAACACATCATTGGCAAATGTCCTTGTGGCAAAAAGGCCAGAAAAAAAAATAATGCTTCCTGTGGTGAGAATCTAGAGCCAACTGGGTTCTGCACAACTGAATAAGAACCAGTGAGCTCTGTAGAGATGTCCCCTGTGGGCTGACACTGGATTACGGCATCTGTGCAGTAGCAAGCAATGATGGTTCAAGGGAATGTCTGCCACCCATAACAGACAGTAGTGGGCAGTCTTGAAACTGCACTGATCTCATTTTTACTAAGCACTAATATTTCCAGGAACCTGGCACTAGGTCACCCATACATAGTTATTTGATCTTCACAGTGCACAAAGAAGGAAACGGAGAGTTTTGAGTCATTGACACAAGTTAGTGCATTTGACGAGACTGAAAGTCTCTCCGGGGCATCTGACACCACTCCTCTGTAATTACTTCTTCAGGAAGAAGAAATGCCAGAGTTCCCAGGTGAAAGCATGTCACTAAAAACTAAAGTCCTAGAGCTGACAAGATGGCTCGGCAGGGAAAGGTGCTCTCTGACAGGCCCAGTGACCTGAGTTCCATCCTGGGGCCCACACGGTAGAAGGAGAAAACCTATTCCCACAAGTTGCCCTCTGATCTCTACATATGCACTGTGCCACTCAAGATACAGTCTCCCCCTCACCACACACACACACACAAACACACACACACGCATGCATGCGCGCTCTCACACACAAGAAAGAAAGGAAGGAAGGAAGGAAGGAAGGAAGGAAGGAAGGAAGGAAGGAAGAAAAAGAAAGAAAACCATGGTATGTGGTGGTGACACTGGCTTGTAATCTTAGCCCTCAGAGGCTAAAGCAGGAAGACAGCAAGTTTGAGAAAAGCCTGGCTCAGAAAAAAAATAATAATAATAATAACTTTTAAAAACGTGTCATGTACTATTAATTACAGCATGGAGTAGTGTTTTATGAAATAAGTTGTGGATGAATTTAGATGGGTGTGCAGAGTTGCAGGAAGAGTGGGGTGCATTGACAATGAGATTTGAGAAATACTTTGGGGAAGTGGCATGAAAAGAGCCAGAAAGCGGTGGCACTGAAGCCCAAGGGTGTCTTTAGGCTGCCTCAACCTTCAAGTGACTTCTGGTGATTTCGAGACTGTGCTTGGCAGACAGTGGGGAATCCACAAAAGGACTCGCCTGCCAGGACGTGATTACACAGCAATTAGCTCTGATTACACTGTGAGAAAGGGCTGACTCAGAGAGCCAGGGATCTTTTGAATCATTTCTTAGTAATAAGGACAGTAATGCTAATAGGTCCTGTTTATTGAGTACTAATTACTCTCTGCAGCCAATAGAGGGTGGTTAAGAACTTCTAGGAAGGCGGGTCAGGAACCACAGAAATGAAGTTGAAACCCGGTCTCTCTAACATCCTGTCTGGTGATTTGAATTCCTCAAAGTTTCCAAAGTCTTAGAACTTATTGAGGGCTTTGCTATTTGGATATTCAAATCAAATCTGGTCTCAAGGACTATTTCTCTTTGGACTTCTTTTCAAAGTTTGTGTTATAACGCGGCCCTTATTTTCAGGAGTCTCTTCAGCCAGAAAGCCAATAGATATTAGATATTATTTCTCTTTCTAATATGATGCTAGTTCCTTAACTTGTAGTCCTTGTTTTGTTTCTAGGCAGTGTCTTGCTATGTAGCCCAGCCTGGCCTTGAACAGCAACTCTTCCTGCCTCAGCTTCCTGAGGCTGGGATTCCAGGCATACACCTCCACATTAACTTTTTTACTACTAATTTTATTTTAATTTTACATGGCATATTTTTTATGACAACAGTTCAACCTGAATTCAAAGCATAGCTGGCCTAGACCCCAGATCTCTTGCATCATTTTTCAAGTTTGTCTTTCCTTCTCAACAGATGTTGGTGCCTTTTTTGAAGAGGGCATGTGGCTGCGCTATAACTTCCAGGCACCGGTGGTCACTGCTAGAGACTCAGGCAGCAAGGCGGAGAATTCTGCAGAGCAACAGCCCTCGTCTCCAGACCTGGCCCAGGAGCAGATCCACTTCAGCTTCAGCACCACCAAGGCTCCCTGCATCCTCCTCTACGTCAGCTCCCTCACCACTGACTTCCTAGCTGTGCTGGTCAAGCCCACAGGTAAGGACAAGTGTCCTTAGCCTTCTACCTTCAGACAGTAGTCAGACCAAAGATGCTAGAGTCAGAATTGCTCTCAGCTGACAATTTATTTCCCATGAGATGTTGAGCAAATCATCTGCTTCCTTTGAACCTCATTGCCATCCGGAAGTCAGAAGAACAACTTTTCCATTGAGAGCTTATAGTAACAATTTGATGGAACACACAGGCTATTTTCATATTATATGAACATGAGATGAATTTAAATGTAGAATGATTCTGTTTGTTCCTGTCAAGTAAATACCTTTGCTACCGTGCTAAGTCTTAGCATCCTCTGAAGTAGTGAAATTTATCATAGGTTAATGAATGAATTGCCCTGATTTATGATAATGTATCACATCAATAGATTCCAGTGAAATGTAGAAACTATCTATGAAAGTAGAAAATCAGAAATGCTGCCATCCCTAAAGCCTCCCTGAACTTTCCACTCACAAATACATCCGTGGAGAGATAGTTGCTGGGAGCACAGGGGATTTTTTCATTTGTGAATTCCTGAACTTGGGAATCTAGTTAGGCCCGAAGTACATAAAAGTACATAAACCTCTTTTTTAGATCAGGAGCTAGGGTGCTGATACATGTGTGCACACATGTCCAGGTCAGAAGACATATTGGTCTTCACCTTGCCTCTTCATTGAGACAGGGTCTCTTATTGTTCACCACTACATATGCCTGGTTAGACCAAGAAATTTCCAGGATTCTCCTGCCTCTGCCTCCCATCTCACCATCACCATGCTGAAATTACAGACATAAGCTTCTGGATCCAACCTTCCATGGGTTTTGAAAACCCAAACTTAGGCAGGAGTGAGTCTGGGACCTCAGAGGGAGTAGGCATGAGGCAGAACCTCTGTGTGTCCAGACGTTGGTCTGGGACATCAAAGGGAATAGGGAGGATCCTGACACTTCTATGGGTCCAGACATGAGTCTGGGACTCTGAGGGAGTAAGCCTAAGCCAGGTCCTCTGTGGTTCTGGCATACCTGAGCCTGGGAACTCTGAGGCAGTAGACAGGAGCCAGAGAGCTTTGTAGGACCAACTCCAATCCAGGAACCTCTGCAAGAGTGGATCCAGACCAGGATTTACAGAAACAGGTCAAAGCCAGAAACCTAGGCCAAAGTAGGTCTGAGACAGCAAACTCCAAGGAAGCAGAGCAAAGCCCTGGGAGTGCTGAGCTATCTCCAAGAACATGAGGTCCTAGCTAGAGCACTAAGACACCAAAAAGAGATCAAGGGGATACAAATCGGAAAAGAAGTCAAACTCTCACTGTTTGCTGATAATATGATAGTTTACATAAGCGATCCCAAAAATTCTACCAAGGAACTCTACAACTTATAAACACTTTCAGTAATATAGCAGGATACAAGATAAGTTCAAAAAAATCAGTAGCCCTCCTGTACACAGATGATACAAGGGCTAGTGAAGAAATCAGAGAAACAACACCCTTCACAATAGCCACAAATACCTTAAAATATCATGGAGTAACTCTAACCAAACAAGTGGAAGACTTGTATGACAATAACTTTAAATCTTTGAAGAAAGAAATTGAAGAAGACACCAGAAAGTGGAAAGATCTCCCATGCTCTTGGGTAGGCAGAATTAACACAGTAAAAATGACAATCTTACCAAAAGCAATCTACAGATTCAACATAATGCCCATCAAAATCCTAGCAAAATTCTTCACAGACCTCAAAAGAATGGTACTCAACTTCATATGGAAAAGCAAAACCCCATGATAGCCAAAACAATCCTGTATAATCAAAGAGCTTCTGGAGGCATCACAATTCCTGACTTCAAACTCTACTACAGAGCTAAAATACTGAAAACAGCCTGGTATTGGTGTAAGAACAGACAGAGGGACCAATGGAACCAAATAAAAGATCTGGATATCAATCCACACATCTTCCAACACCTGATTTTTGACTAAGATGCAAAAAATATCAAATGGAAAAAAGAAAGCATACTTAACCACTGGTGCTGGCATAACTGGATATCAATAAGTAGAAGAATGAAAATAGATCCATATCTATCACCATGCACAAAACTCAAAGACCTCAACATAAAGCTAGCCACACTGAATCTTATAGAAAAAAATGGGAAGTACACTTGAACGCATGGGCACAAGAGACTACTTCCTAAATATAACCCCAGTAGCACAGACACTGAGAGAAACAATTAATAAATGGAACCTCCTGAAACTAAGAAGCTTCTGTAAAGCAAAGGACATGGTCAACAAGACAAAATGACAGCCTACAGAATGGGAAAAGATCTTCACTAATCCCACATTAGACAGAGGTCTGATCTCCAAAATATACAAAGGACTCAAGAAATTGGTCATCAATAAAACAAATAATCCAATAAAAAATGGAGTCCAGACCTAAACAGAGAACTCTCAACAGAAGAATCTAAAATGACTGAAAGACACTTAAGGAAATGTTCAAAATCCTTAGTCATCAGAGAAATGCAAATCAAAACAACTCTGAGATTCTATCTTACACCTGTAAGAATGGCCAAGATCAAAAATACTGATGACAACTTATGCCAGAGAGGTTGTGGTATAAAGGGAACACTTCTGCATTGCTGGTGGGAATGCAAGCTGGTACAGTCCCTTTGGATGTCAGTGTGGCGATTTCTCAGAAAATTAGGAAACAACCTTCCTCAAGACCCAGTAATACCACTTTTGGGTATATATCTAAAAGATGCTCAATTGTGCCACAAGAACATATACTCAACTATATTCATAGTAACACTGTTTGCCATAGCCAGAACCTGGAAACAACCTAAATGCCCCTCAACCAAAGAATGGATAAGGAAAATGTGGTACATTTACACAATGGAGTACTACACAGCAGAAAAAAATGACAGCTTGAATTTTGCAGGAAAATGGCTGGAGTTAGAAAACATTATTTTTAGTGAGGTATCCCAGACACAGAAAGACAATTGTCCCATATACTCACTGATAGGTGGTTTTTAAACATAAAGTAAAGAAAGCCAGCCTACAAACCACAATCCCAGAGAACTTAGACAACAATACGGACACTAAGAGAGACTTACATAGATCTAATCTACATGGGAAGTAGAAAGTAGAAAAAGACAAGATCTCCTGAGTAAATTGGGAGCATGGGGACCTTGGGGGAAGGTTGAAGGGGGGAGGGGAGAGACAGGGAGGGGAGCAGAGAAAAATGTAGAGCTCAATAAATATCAATAAAAAAATCTTTTAAAAAATAAATAGATAAAAATAAAAAATGTAACATTTCATGATGTATAACAACCTAAATGCCCCTGGACTGAAGAATGGATAGGATAATGTGTTACATTTACACAATGGAGTCCTACACAGCAGAAAAAATAACGATATATTGAATTTTGCAGGAAAATGAATGGAGCTAGAAAACATTATTTTGACTGAGGTAACCCAGACCCAGAAAGACAATTATCACATGTACTCACTCATAAGTGATTTTCAATAATAAAGCAAATGAGCCTACAAATCACAATCCCAGAGAACTTAGACAACAATGAAGACACTAAGAGAGACTTACATAGGTCTAATCTACATGGGAATTAGAAAAAGACAAGATCTCCTGAGTAAATTGGAAGCATAAAGACCTTGGGAGAGGGTTGAAGGGGAGGGGAGAAGCAGCGGGGGGGGAGCAGAGAAAAATATAGAGCTCAATAAAAATTAATTTAAAAAAAGAAATCGCAAAAAAAGAAAAGAAAATCCAGACTTGGGTAGCTAGTGTTTAACCCACTGGAGTTATATTCCCAGTCTTTTGAATTCATCTTTTTAAATCCTTTATTAAATCTACTCTTTGAAAATTTTCTACACAAATAATATATTCTGAGTACTGGCATCTCTCATATCGCCCTTCCACCCCTTTTAACAGCCACCCTACCACCCACTTCATCTCTACAAATCCCTTTTCCCTATTCATACCATTTTGTTTTATAGCCACTAAGTTTAACTAGGTCTATCTGTGCGGCCTAGAGTTTGCATCTATCCATGGGAACATAGTGGGCTCATCAATGGTGACAAACTGAAGATAATTCTGCCCCTCATCCAGAATCCATTGGTAGGCTATAGTTCACCAAAGAGGGATAGGCAAGTGGGCTCCTCCTGCTATATGATTGACTATTGACAGGCCCATCACGGCCCTCTTGTTTATCCTCTGTACACTAAGCCAAAGGATCCAAGTGAGAATGCAAATGACTTTGGCATTCAGCATCACTCTATAAAGATTCTTACTAGAACAAAAGTATACAAATAAACACGCTGCACATGGAGGAATCTATTTTCTCTCTCTCTAAAACCTGCATGTGTGTGTGTGTGTGTGTGTGTGTGTGTGTGTTTTAAGAACATTGTTTTTTTAAATACAAGTGTTTTAGGTGTAACTCTTTAACTCACTTCCTATGGAATGTGTGAGTTTAAAATACAGGAGTTTTCTCCCCTATTGGCCATCTCTTCTTGCCCTTTAATGGATGTTCAAGGTTGATACCTTGAAAGTGTCAAGAATCTGATGATCATGTAAAACTGGACACTGCTGTCTGCTCCTCTGTCACTTGCTTACTAAAATTTGCTTCCCAGCTATAAATGTGGTGATTCACATGTGTATTGCCTATGTCCACATTACATGCATGGTGCTCCTGTGGGGACATTTATCATGTGAAAGAGAATCATTTGATCTATTCTACAGTATCAATAGTTGGAATATAGTATTAGTGTTGAACCATCTTAGAGAATAAGATTTTCTTCTATGAGAGCCAAAATATTACAACTGTAGAGCTAAATATTTGGAAAAATAGTGAATTTTCAAATACACTCTCTGGGCAATATACTGTAAGTTTAAAAAAAATGAAAGAAAATTATGTGTCCCAGAGCCCCAGAATTTCCTCTTTCAGAATTTATTAATGAAAAAGCCCCAAATCAGCATCTTCAGCAAGAATATGTTTATTGTAGTGTTGCTTATAAAAA